GTCTCCTCAACACACTGCATGGAGGGACCCCATTCGTGGGCTCTGATCTACCATGCTGGAGAGTCATGGTCTAGGGTCTCCTCAACACACTGCATACACGGACTCCATCTTCAGTTGAAGTGCATGGTGGTTCAGTGCATTTGACCTGGGAGTTAACCCCTCTGGTTATAGACAGGAATGAAGCCAGGCTGTGTAGACAACCCACTCAAGTGATACAGAGAGTGACAGGGAAGCCTGGACCCCAGGTCCCTGCTGCAGGACAGGACCTTGGTTCTGGGGCCTCCTATGAGGCCGACTGGAACTTGTAGACCCTCTGTGGCCAACAGTGACCCCGGGCTGCCCAGGTCACTGTGCTGACCATCACCCCGGGGACGGTCTTGTGTTTTTTCCCCAGACTATCTCCCTGGGGAAACATCTCTGGTCTCCACTCCAAGAACCCCCACGAAAGCCAATTTCTTCTCCCTCTAGGGCTCCCCCATCCCGCGGGCAGCCTCATGGGTCCCCTGAAGACGGTTGTTCTGCTCTCCATGCTGCTGGACCAGGCTTTTCTCCTGACCCAGGAGCGCCAAGGTAAGTGTGCGAACATGCTTGACCCCTTTCTGCCGTTCCCAACACCTGGGTCCAATTTGATTGTATCCTCGTGCATGACAGTCAGCCGGCCGGCAGCATCGCACATCACATTCCGCTCACCCCTTCTTGTGATGCTAACGTCCTTCCACCCATTCTCCAGGCGGGACAACTGAGGCTCAGAGACCTCCATGATTTAACCTAATGACCATCAGCAAGGGGTGGGCCCAGGATCAGGATCCGGGTCAGCCCAACGCAAGAGAATTTCTCGGCCCCTCTCTGACAGCACTTTCCTATTTTAACCGTAGGGCATGGTCGTCCACCATAGAAGCAAAATGTGGTTCATCGGCCCTAACTTCAGGTGACGGGGTGGCGAGGGTCTCGCCCAGCAGGGACTATGCAGCAGGGACTGAGTGGACTCCCTGAGTAATCAGGTGGAGACAATAAGCGAGGCGGGGCCACAGGACCCTGATCCCACAATCCTGGCTGGTGGGGAAGAAATGCCACCGCCTGCCCCTGGGTATTGATTCTCGGGCCACCGCCATTTGAGGAAGGATAAAGCTGAATAAACACGCTTAGTTCTTGCGCGAATGTGGTAAGGGTGCCGAGATATGGGGTGACTCGGAAGCTAGGTATTTCCGGGCCATCGTAAAAAATCGGGGCAGTCCAGTGGGGCGGGATATAAGGACAGTGGTGTAGGGTCGGATCTTAGGGCAAGGATCCTTCCTCCAGGTTGGACTGATGTGGCATCAGGACTTGCAGGTAAAGAAAGCCCTTTAGCGACCAGCTCATGGGGCTGGACGAGGATACCACTGACCCCCAACCTTCCCCAAGGAACGTTCTCGGGGAACGCTCCCCGGGGGTAGTGGTCCCAAAAAGACCACTCGAGACCTGCCGAAAAAAAATTTGCTTTTGTGGCATTTAACTAACATTTTGAGGGTGGATGCGTTGTTGCTTTATTGGGCAAAACTGGAGACCGGTGAACAGAGAGGTGAGGCAACCTGCTGGAAGTCACAGCTGGTGAGTGGCAGAGGTGGGGCTCCAGCCCACATCCGTCTTTCTGAAAGTGGCTGTGCTTTGAAAACGTGGACTGAATAAACACCCTCGTCTTTGCCCCCCACCCTGGAGTCCCGGGTCCAGGGACGTGCTGGAGTCGGCTCCTGCTGGCGAGGAGATGTTTGGGTGGATCCGTGTCATCAGATTTCTGTTGAGCATTCAAGACTTTCTCGGTTGGGTATGAACTCGAGGGCATAAGTGGCTTTTACAGAACCCACAGGCTGAAAGGGAAGGACCAAGATCCATAGACTCCTTGGAGACGGGATGGTTGCTCATCTGAGAAGCGAGACCTGAAAGGAAGAGAAACCCACAGGAGGCCAGGGCGGGGGCCGGGGAGAGGGGAGGGTCAAGAAATTCCGGAGGTTCCTGATCTACTTGTGGGTCCTGGAGACCTGGAGAGAGCGGGTCCCTGGGAGGGGGCATGGCCTCGGGATTAAGGGAGAATGTGAGCACGAGGTGCCGAGCACAGAGGCCGCGTGGGGAGAGAGACTGAATACGCAAATGCACAATGGTCGGACCGTCTGTAAAAGTAGGACTCTGACCCGCGACTGCAGCGACCTGCAGCTACGGTCAGGGCACAGCCGAGCCTTCCTTTTCGTCCACTCTGACTTTCCCAGTCCTCTGCCCGCCCTTGCGTCTCTGCCCGATGCAAGGGACGGGGGCCGACTTCCGGACTACAGTGTGCTCTAAACAACCAGCCTCCGCTTGTTCTCATTTGATTGATCTTTGTTTGCCCAGCAGACATCTCCGCACGGAGAAAGGGCAAGGAGGCCCAGGCGGGAAGGAGAGAGGGAAAATGGGGTAGATTCTGAGGATGTGCCAATGCCCTGGGGCTGCCTGGGTGAGAGGGGAAGTGGGACAACGAGCCCCAGCCCTGATCTTCACTTACAAGACGTGGGATGTGCTGGTTGGGGAGAGCAGAGACGGGTAATTTCTGAATCCTGTGGCTGCCATGTTTCAGATCTTCCGACCGAGGAACCGGTCCCCAGTCTCCATGTGAAGTTCGACCCCAGGAGAATGGAATTGAGTTGGGACTGCAAAGAAAATGCTACTTACGTCGAATGTGTGCTGATTCACAAGGATGAAGGACCGATTTGCTTAAAGGTAGGATGGTATGCTGTTGCTATCCTTTACCAACTCCCACCAACTTAGCAACGAGACAACAGTGACACGTGAAAAACGCATGGGTGACTTTGGGACGTGTCTAGGAGCCATGGTTCTCGGTGCACCGGGGATTCGTGTCCAAGGTGTGTCCAGTGTCCTGATTCCCCGGGGGACCGAGGAGCTCTCTGGAAAATATCTAAAATTATCCTAAAAGGAAAGGAAGCATAGCAGACGCCCCAAAGCTTCTGTGAGGTCGGACCAAGGAGAGGCCGCAGGGAGCTGAGAGGAGGTGGGACCCTTGGGGACACTGAGCCGCCCGAGGAAGGGGAAATGGAGCTGGCTGGCGATGTGGGACCCAGCAGGGCAGGGGGATATCCCAAGCGGGTACCCGAATGCTCCCAGGATTTCCAGGGAAGAATTTCAGAGGGATGAAATGTCCAGCCACCGTGATCACGGGGAAGACAGGTGGTTTGTTCCGTCACTTTCAAACCTCCGATCCCGTTCGGGGGATGTTGCCTAGGGGAACCGTCCACCCGGTTGCGTGGACGGCAGCCTTTTGCTAGGTTGATCCTTCAAAAATTGTCTAGGTGGTAGACTTAATCCTGAGAAGGAATAGCGTCAGCCCTGAGTGTGCAATGGAAACAAAGTAAACAGACTGACTGGGATACAACGTTGTCGTGAAGTTTGTGAGAGAGCGTGAGTATGAGATAGGACGAGAAAACTCAGTAACACGGAACAGCGTGTGATGAGCTCCACAAAGTTTAAACTGATGAAGGGCCTCACTACTCAAACTTGGGAGCTTCTGAGAAATGCAGAATCTCGGGCCCCAGAATCCACATTTTAACAAGATCCCTGAGGACTGAAGGCACATTAAAATGTGAGCTCTTGGGGGCTGGCCCGGTGGCATGGTGGTTAAGTTCGCACGCTCCGCTTCGGTGGCCCGAGGTGTGTGGGTTCAGATCCCGGGCGCGGACCTACACGTCACTCATCAAGCCATGCTGTGGCGGCATCCCACATACAAAATAGAGGAAGACTGGCACAGATGTTAGCTCAGGGCCAATCTTCCTCACCAAAAAAAAAAAAAAAATGTGAGCTCTATTCTGACCCTCTACATGCTGCTATAGGCTGTCGAGTTGAGGTTCCACCTGCAAGTCGCATGCGCGCATACCCCAGAGAAGGTACACGGGGGAGATTTCACGAAAAGAGGTGGATGGTGTCACGGGGTTGATGTAGGTGCAAACGACGTGGAGATGAGAAGGAAGAAGACTGTTTCCTAATGTGCTGCTGGTTATCTCTTTTCAGCTCAAGAATAAAGAATGTCACTGCACGTTCCAGAACTATCCTCTCCACGAGGGAGTCACACTCACGGTGAAAATAAATACCAGCCAGAAACAGATTTCAGAGAAACTGGTCTACACTAACCCAGGTAGGGAAACATCACGGTGATGCTTTGGCGCCCCACTAGCATCCAAGTAGATGCCCCTTTTTTTCAACGTTATTGAGATATCATTGAGACCTGGGAATTGTGTGTGTTTAAGGTGCATGGCTTATGTACTGAAACACATACACACGGTGAGAAGATTACCACAATCAAGCTACGGACGCACCCGTCGTCTCACAGAGCTACCATTTTCTTCCTTTTATTTTTTGTGGTCCCGCCCGCAGATCCCACCTTGAGACCTACTCTGTTAGTGAGTTTCAAGTGAAAGATGCATTACGATTAACTATAGTTACTGTGCTGGAGAGTAGGTCTCCAAGACCACATTAGATCTTGCGAAACGGAACACGTGTGTGGTTTCACCAGCTCCTCCCCATTTCCCTCCTCCCTCAGCCTCCGCCAACCACCATTCTACCCCCTGTCTGTGAGTTTGACTATTTTAGATTCCACGGAAACGTGAAGTCATACAGTATTTGTCTTTCTCTGTCTGACTTGTTTCGTTAGCATAATGCCCTCCGGGTTCATCCCTGTTGTCCCCAAAGACAGGATTTCCTTCTTTTTTACGGCTGAATAATATTCCATTGTGTATATATATACCGTGTCTTCTTTATCCATTTGTCCACTGATGGACACTCAAGTTGTTTCCATATCTTGGCTGCTGTGAATAACTCTGCAATAGACATGGGACTGCAAATATTTCTTCGAGATCCTGATTCCATTTCCTGCGGATAAATACACAGAAGCGGAATTGCTAGCTCATGTGGTAGTTCTATTTTGAGGAACCTCCGTATGGTTTTCCACGTTGTCTGCACATCTTACATTCCCACCAACAGTGCTGAAGTGTTTCCTTTTCTCCACATCCCCACTGACACTTATCTCTTGTATTTATAGCAAGAGCCATTCTAACGGGTGTGAGGTGACAGCTCATTGCGCTTTTGATCTGCATTTCCCTGATGATTAGTGATGCTGAGCACTTTTTACGTACGTGTTGGCCATCTGTATGTCTGTTTGGGTCCTTTGCCCATTTTTTCTTCACATTCTTTGGGAAGTGTTTTGTTTGTTTATATTTTGGATGGTAACCTATCACTAGATATACACGGTTTGCAAATCTTTTCTTCCACTCTGTAGGTTGCCTTTGCACTCTGCTGACTGTGCCTTTTGCTGTGCAGAAGCTGTTCAGTCTGGTGCCATCCCACTTGCCTGTTTTTGCTTTTGTTGCCTGTGCTTTCGGTGTCACATCCGAAAAAATGTTTGCCAAGACCAAAGTCAAGCTTTTTCCCTATGTTTTCTTCTAGCAGCTTTAGAGTTTCAGGGCTTATGTTTAACTCTTTAATCCATTTTGACTTGACTGGTGTATATGGTGTGAGATAAGGATCCAATTTCTTCTGCGTGTGGAGATCCAGTTTTCCCAACATCACTTACTGAAAAGACAGCCCTTTATCCATCCTGTGTTCTTGGCACCTTTGTCGAAGGTCGGTTGACCATAAATATGTGGATTTATTTCTGGGCTCTCTAATCTGTTTCATTTATCTCTGCGTCTATTTTTATGCCAGTACCACACGGTTTTCGTTATTGTAGCTTTATCATATATTTTGAGATCAGGAATTGTGATGCTTTTACTTTTGTTGTTTTTGCTCAAGACTGCTTTGGCTATTTAGAATCTTTTGTGGTTCCGTATGAATTTTAGGATTGTTTTTTCTATCTCTGTAAAAAATGCCATTGCGATTTTGACGGGGATTGCATTGATCTATAGATTTCTTTGGGTAAAATGGACATCTTAACAATATTAATTCTTGCAGTCCTTGAACACAGGATGTCTTTCCATTTATCTGTGTGTTCTTTAATTTCATTCATCCATGTTTTATAATATTCAGTCTACAAGTTCTTTCACATCTTTGGTTAAGTTTATTCCTGTGTATTTTATTCTTTTTGCTGCTACTGTGAATGGGATTTTCTCCATTCCCTTTTTGGATAGGTCGTTATTAGTGTATAGAAATGTCACTGATTTTTGTATCCTGCAACTTTACTGAATTTGTTGATTAGTTCTAATGATGTTTTTGGTTTGTTTGTTTCGTCTTTAGGGTTTTCTATGGATGCAATCACATCACCTGCAAACAGAGATAATTTTAATTCTTCCTTTCCAATTTGGATGCCTTTCTTTCTTTT